CTTAATAGATCAACACATTGCACTATACTTCCATCTTTGATCCAAAAAAAAAAAATCTTTAATAAAAGGTCCACTTTTTGTCTTGATGATTAGTATTAGATTTGTGTGCTAGTTTGAGGGTAAGGATGTGATTAATTCTTTAGTTGGCTTAGATAGCAACACATTTGATACCAGTCCACTCAAAAAGGATTCTAGAATTATTTTGATTTGCATGATCATTTTCTTGATGTGTGGGGGACCATATTTGTTTATTTGATGTTGAGATTTTGGGAGATTGCTTAGAAAGGGTTGAAAAATTGCATACTTGAGGTAATTTTCTCCCAATGCTTATTTGCAATATTGGTGCCTCTTTTGAAAGAATGAGCTTAATGTTTGTGGATACCATTTCTGGAAACTCTCACAAGACTTTACTCATCCACTAGGGCTAACCTAGGGGTTTAAAAGGCTTGTTGCATATACTAAGTGCAATCGTGTTCCCTACGAAAGTGGCGTTATCCATTTATTATTTTCTAGTTCGTAGTTGTATAGTTGTTCATTTCATTCTTTTACTTTCTAGTTCATTGCTAACGACTAGCAATATTTAAGTTTGGGGGTGTGATGAGCACTAAAAAGTGCGTATTTAAACCCCTTAAGCTTAGGCATTCTAGTACCTTTATCTATCTTACTTTACCGTTTTAGATTGATTTCGTATTATTTCTATTTTCAGGCACTTATCCCGAAAATAAGCTAATTCAGCCAAATAAGAGCTTAATTGAAACAATTCTGGGATTAAACAAAGAAATGAGCAAAGTGGAGAAAGAAGGAAGCAAATGAAGCCAAAGGTGGGAAGCAGCAAAGTTCGATCGATCCAAGTTCAAGGTTCAATCGATCGAACAATGATCGATCTCAGCACTTCAAGATAGATCCAAGCCTTGGCCCAAAAGCATAAAGTCCCAAAAGTTCGATCGATCCAACACCATCTTTCGATCGATCGAACACTTTTGTCCTTATTCAAATGATTGATCATATCCACAGCTGTACCACCCACTAACCACTTTTGTCCTTTTCCCATAAATATTTCTCCAAAATATCTCGAAGTTGTCTTTTCCCAAAAAGCTCAACCAGTTGGATCGATCCAACCTAAGTTCGATAGATATCAGCCAGTTCGATTGATCCAAGTCTAAGGTTCGATCGATCGAACTTCCTCCAGTGCAAAAAAGTTAAAATTCCATCTCATTGAAAGTTGTCCTTTATCCAATCATTAAGGAATATTATGTGCACGACCCCAGCTCATTTTGGGTGTCATTTTGACCTACCTATATAAGGATAAGGATTGCTCTTTAGAAAGGGAGCCAACATTATTTTCATATCATCTCTTGGAGAGCAAGCTTAGAGGAGGAGGAGGCTAGAGACACCATTGGAGTTCTTCATCAACAAGGAGCAGATTTCAACCATGGAGTTAGCCCTTGAGGGTTGGAGCAACATCACCATGAGTGGCTAGACATCCTCTTGGGGCTAGAGTTAGCCACAAGCATGCTTTCTATATCATAATCTTGTGTATTATTGAGGGATTAGTGTTGTAATTGATGTTTTGACACTTTGATATATATAGATCTTGTTTATTTAATGATTTATGTGATTTAATGCCTCCAATTGATCATTTTATTATATCTATATGTCTATATATGCTAGAATAGATGTTCATGTGCTTGTCTCTAGATTTTGTGTTATTGATGCATGTCTATGTGTATTGATGCTATAGATTTAGAGATTGTCAAAACATAGTGCTTAAAGGAATCTTTTTGTGATTCTCTTGATGGTTCATACTTATTTCTTAATGGATTGTGCCTCTCCCCTAGTTTATTTTCATGCTAGTAGTGTAGATGTAGTGTAGTTGTAGTGTAGTGTTAAATGGGAGGACAATCTATGCTTATTGTTTGATGATCCAAACTTTTGAATGCAAGTAGCATATGTCTCTATCCTTGTATTGTATTTGAATTGTGAGCTTAATGAAAGGATTAATGACTTGTTTTGATCTATTGTGCCTTTCACATATTATTTAGACAATATATGCTTCATTGCTTAGATATATTGTGCCTTTCACATGATGTTTAGACAATACATGCTTAACTAGTCATCCTTACTTGTTGAATCAACCAAACACACACACCAATATTGCAACACACCATTTGTCCTCATTAATCACTTGTCAATGATATAGAAATGCATTGTTTGGTGGTGAGCTCTAAACCCCAAGGTCTCTCTCTCTCTCTTACTTACTCTTAATTGCATTCTTTTGCTATCACTTAGTTTAATTTAGTTACTCTTTAATCAACCAACCAACCAATTGTTTGATCACTCGACCTACTAGCCCTAATAACAATTCCACGACATTGCTCGATCCTCATAATCCCTTGGGACGATCCTTACTCACCCTAGCTATATTTAGTAGTAGTGTTGGTAGTGGTTTTTATAAGTTTAAACTTGACCCAAAAGGCTTTTCTTGAACCGCACATTCACTACATCAATTTGGCGTGAAGGAACGGCCATGATCACCGTCAGAAACCATAATAAAACATAACAGCTCCAGTTAAGCAAACCAAACACATTGTTAGTCTGTAGAAAAAGACTTATACTCAATATTAATCCAGTGAAATATTGATTTTTATTTTTGTAAAAAAAAAAAAAAAAAAAAAAAGTTTTGTTGATGACTTGATGGTTTCTTGTTAAATTAGGTAATTTCTATATAATAGATTAATAACTAGTCAGGGGCGAAACACATAGGTGTTACTTTCTAATGTGAATTTATTGATAAGGAACATATATATCTTGCATTCTTGCAGGCGTTTGTTTAATACTTGTATGAAACATATTTTAGTGGATTTCTGACTGTGAAAACACATTAGAGTTTGGAAGTGTAAATGTGTTCAAAGGTTGTAGATTATTAGGTTTAATTGAATGACCGACGCATGAGAATTCTGTATTTAGGGCATGGATCAATGACACACTAAGCAATTATGTGTTTAATTATTTTTAGTCCTCCCTACTTTGCAATCCTGGCTCCGCCCCTATCTAGAAAGCAACCGGAACAGACCGGCCCATCTATTCCTCTGACGGTTCCAAGTGCATCGGCTTAAAGAAGTCCCTTGTTTTCTACAAAGGTAGGGCTGCCAAAGGGACAAAAACTGACTGGATGATGCACGAGTTCCGGTTACCTTCTCTCACTGATAACTCAGCGCCACAAAAGCGATTCGTGGACAAAAACATTCCCACCACTGTAAGCCATTAGAAGAGTTCAATTTACATATTATTTGCAGAAACACTAGGACACAGAGGACTAAGATACTATGTGTTGTGGACTTGCAGGACTCATCATGGGCAATTTGCAGGATCTTCAAGAAAACCGACTCCACTGCACAAAGAGCAATATCTCACTCTTGGGTGTCCCCACTATTACCTGAAATCAGATGTACTCACCCAAGGTGTGTACACAACACTCAGTACATCAGTTCAGAGAACATGTCATTGATATCAAAAACAAGTTCACTCATCAACTATGGTAGTTGTTACTTTAATGATATACAACAATCATCTTTTACTAGCTTCTCTCCTTCGGACTTCCCCTCCAACAATGGAGATCTTCCCCTAAGCTACACATTTCCGTCCCTCGACATGTCAGGACCTACCAAACTCACAGTTGATGCATCTTCTATGCCACTGAACATGTCATATTCCATCTTGGGAGATTTTGGTCAGTATGACAACTTAGAAATGGAAAGGAATGGGAGTCATGGAGAAGAAACAGACTCGATAAAGGATCCGAATGTAGCACATTTTTTCGATCAATGGGGGAGTACGACATCTGTTGGATTTAGGGTTATGAACTTATAATCATGGAAACCCTCTGTCGGATGCATGGAGGGCAGATTTTCTTTGGGATTCTTCCCCTTGTCCTAGTGATCAGATGTCCACTAGTTATTCAACTAACAAGTGCTATAATTAATTTATGAAGTTGAAACATTGTCAAACCATTGTTTGTTTTCCAGTTTTGTGCACTCAAGTTCATGTCAGAACAATATAGGATAGTAGTTTATAATCGTTTTTGTAGAGCCTTGAATTTCTTTTTTGACTGCGAAATGAAAAAATTACTAATCCAAGTATTATATAATATGGAAATTTTAGTCTCTACTCTTTATGAATAAGATCAGAGATTAATTTCAATGGCTATAATATATAGCAGCAGAAAAGTATTCATCAAGCTGTGAAGCCTTTGTATCAAATGGTAGCCTTAATTACCATGTACACCTGTGGAAATCTTGTTTGGTGGGTCACAACATTCTACAGAGGTAGCTCCCATATAGTCTAGCCAGTTCGTTTGCAAACAGAATTTGAGCTACTAGAGGATTGGAGGAAATCCTAGCTGACTGGTGGTTTCTATTTATTCAAATTCGAAAATAAGGACTCTCCTAAATAGACTTGCCATTGCAAATAAGCTTAACATAACAGTAGAATTCAGGGAAGGTTATAACTTCCATCTAAAAAGAGGACCACTTTCAATCCTTCTCAACAGATCACCGCTCTTTTTCTACTTACACAGCTGTCCATTAGATACTAAATGTACAGACCTAATGTTTGTTCATGCAATTCACAAAGGTGCTGCTTCACAGGGTTACAAAGTTTGAATTTATTGCCAAGAATTCTTACATAATGGGACTGTTCCAATGCTAATTGAAATTATTAAAAGGATTAATAAAAGTTTATAATCATATCCTAATACAAAAGCAAATAAACTCACCTCCTTTGTCTTCACCCTGCAATGGTAAGTAGAAGTATTTACCCATTGAACGATAGAATAAGCCCACCGCAATTGTCATTTACCATGCTTCAACGCATTGACAGAAACTAGAATTAAATTCCACAGAATAATACAACATAAAGGATCAATACTACTACAATAAAGCAAAACTTTTAGCTATATCTCCAGCTATAGAAGTGAACAAAGCAAAATCGGAAATTCAAAATTCCAATTGAACTTTTAGAAGTATATATATAAAAGAAACCATTTTAATATTACAAAGAACATTCCAAACTTAATGAAGTTTCGGACACCACCAACAATTAAATAGCGAAAACAAAACCATATCACAATACTTGTCGACAAAGTGATGCTAAATAATCATAGTTCAAAACAAACCTAGGAAATAAAAACCCAAATTGAACTCTCACATTACATGTCCATGATTCCTTGTCATTCGCTGGATCCAAAATTACTTCTCAGCTTAGCTCTTACCAGCTTGCTTTTCCTTGGTCTTCTGAATCTTCAAAACCTTCTTCACAATCTTTTGCTCTTCCACCAAAAAGGCTCTAATGATCCTACACAACCAAAAAAATCCAAGTCCAGAAACTTGTCTTAAGCTATCCAGATAACAGCATATAAAAACCAACCAGTACTACCAACAGTTCAGGTCCCTAAAAGAACAAACCTTTCCCTCACGGCACCTCCAGACAATACTCCACCATAAGCACGGTTCACAGTTCTCCTGTTTCTAGGTAATCTAGATCTTTTATATTCAGCAGGTCTCAAGTGAGGAATCTGGAGTGCAGACATAGAAAACATTGTGTCATGGGTTTAAAACAACTAACATGATGCTTGGAACTCCCCAAACAACACTATATATGATGCTCGAAACTCAATTTTAATGGAAGATAAATGGGGATTTTAGGAGTCCCCTGGTAAGAGACAATGTCCACTGGGTAATATAATAATATTTGAGATTAACACTTTGGGCAGCATGAAGTTCTTAAACTTCTCAAATAAAAAAGCAGTACATCCATTTCCAGAAAATGATAAAAAAAAATGCATAGGACACCAAAATAAAGTGGTAGATACATTATTAAGGCACAACACTATGCCCCTCTTAAGATGAAAAAAAATAAAATGAATTACATTTTAATACAGTTGAACAATCAGCAACACTAACACTCACACTGTATTGACTTCAATAGAATCAGCCAATGTGTAACGATAATTAATTATTGAATCTGTGAATTTTTTTTCTTTTTATTAGTGACCCCAAACAAACTGATAAAATTGCCACGACCTCAGTCTGCTATAATTTATATGTTTACAACAATATTTTACTGAATTTGACCTTTCTACAAATTCTCAAAACCAAAATCACAACTAAAATTGGAAAATCAGAAATAAGAAAGCGAGTAATGGTTGATGATGCAGTTGAATATGATTCATTCCTCATTTTTGTACAAAGCAAAGTGATTTTTCTACTTGTCTAATCTAGAAACTACTTTTTATATTGCTACATTGAGCTCTAATAGCCTAAATACTTTTCTTGATTTCTTCCTTTACATCAATCTCAAAAAAACCTGAATAATTTAAAATGGAGTTGGCTATTTTTGAATGAGAAAAAAAGTGAAAAATATGAATGAAGCTTCGAGGTGTCATGGTACCAGTCAAATTCACATGTTGTAATGGCCATGTAACAGCATGAGTTGTGACATAATGCCACTGACTTGGCTACAACGACATGTTCCAATCCTAGAATCTCATAAATTTGAGTTTTTAACTATTTTCTGTTGGAAAAAAAGGCAATAAACTATTTAGAAAATGAATTTATACGGTAAATAAATTATAGGTCGAATTTAAATTCTCTATAAATGATTAAAGGTTATAATTTTTTACTTTTCACTACTTTTGAACAGAAGGTGCACTTAAAAAAAAAAAAAAAAAAAGGAAAAAAGATATTGAAAAGAGCGAATTCAACTTAGCAAATGCACTGTTCACGATGTTAAATGAATATAAGTCAAATAATCATGTGAGGACGTTTTCTACAAGTCCCACACTAATCAAATACATAGCATATACATCTTGAAAGGAAAAAAAAAAAAAAATCTAGTCCATGCCTCAAAGCAAACTCAAATCCATGACAAGCACATGAAAAACTAGCTAATGCAAGTTCCAAAGCTCTCTTACAATTATAAACCAGTAAAATTCACAAGACCGCATCTCTTTTTTTTTTTTCTTTTTCCAAAGACCACAGATCACTCTTGCAATACTTCATGTATAATTTTCTGCATGAAAAACTTACAAAGATTGGACACTTGAACACACCAGGACCTAGCGACCAGCTAACGTCTATCCAATCATAAATATTGAAACAAGATCCACTAAAAAACTTTGAAGATCTAAAAATGGAACACTAAAGCTATGTGACATAAAAAATAAACAAGGTGAAACAACAACAACCAAGCCATTTTCTAATCCCCCCAAAGAAAAAGCCAAAAAAAAAAAAAGAAAAAAAGAAAAAAAAAAAGAAAAGGAATTATTACCCAATTAAATGATACATTCCAAACTCATGATTCAAGATCAAAAATAAATTTGGAAAGAAAATTTAGTACTAGAATGTATATTCGATGAATTTAGAAACATAATTTGTGAAAAACAAATTAGAAACAAGTGGAAATGAGATTTATAGACCTTCCTAGCTAAAAATACAGTAATAGTTCCCACAATGGCCTTTACAGCATTGATATTTAATAAACCCAATATATCAGATAAAAGGTTCATTGACAATTGTGTCACATAACCTAACAGCCAATATTTAAAACAATATTAGGCAATAAAAGTGTGCATGGGCCACTACAACACCATTGCACCATAACGGATGATATCAGTCAATGCATCTGTTTACTTCCCTCCAAACACCACTTTGTCACAGCAATGAAACTTAACAATACTGGTATTCAATGTCATAATGGAATCTAATGATTTTAAAAACAACCAACTTTCGTAGAGAGGTGGTACCATTTGACAGAATGGGAACACACATAAAACGATCCACATTTGTTTTTGGCATGGCTTGGGTGTTCCCGAGTCCACGGTTGACATGATACAGACTTGGACATGGTGTATAGCGGAGAGCCGAGCCAGGGATGCGTGGAAGGCTACACCCCTTTGTTTATGATGGGGTTTGGGGTGTGAGAAAAATAGAAGATCCTTTGATGGAGAGGAGTCCCCTATTTGGTCTCTCAAATACAATATTATTTCTACTTTATTTTTTTGGGTCAATGGGGCAAATTGTAAATCTTTGGGGCATCTTATGGAATTTGTGGATAACTTGAAATTATAGTGCCGTCTTAGGCCTCTTTGTATTCCTTTGGGAGCGCTACCCTCTTGGGGCCTCTAATGAAATCTTACTTATTAAAAAAAAGCCGCCGCACCCCCCCCCCCCCCCCCCTCTCTCTGTGTTATGATTGCACTAGCATCTAAGCTTGTCCGACACCCCCCCCCCCCCCCCCCTTTCTCTGTGTGTTATGATTGCACTAGCATCTGTCTGACCATTTTTTGGATTATTTATTTCCTTTTTAGTATTAAAGGGGTCTAAGATCTTCAACCCCATAGGAAAACTGCTTCTTCATGACATCTAAGCTTGATAATAATTAGATATAAATGGGATATATGGGGCAGGAGGATGGGGGCTCCTACATTTCAAGGTTCTGAAAGAAATAGGAGGTTGAGCTCATACCCAAAAAGGCATTCATCCCTCCAAAAAGATCTCTATTTTTTTTTTTTTGGTAATGAATAATCAACTCACCTGCTAACCAAAAAGATCTTATTACTAGCTAGTTTGAGTAGCCACCTTTTTTAAAAAATTCTCTACCAAGTACATCACTCATTTCGAAAAAACTTTCCTCATAAGTTCAGATGCATTCAGCAAGAATGTGTCCTTCGAATCATTTGCTAACCCAACTTTTAACTCCTAGAAGTCCCCACAAGGAATCTCTTGTGGCACTCTTCAAAAATATATTACAAACACATCCCCCTTTCAGCCTTTCCACCTAACAGTCAAATAAATATCTTAATATAAATATCAATCACATCATAATTTTTGGAATCAGTAAATACTTTGTAGTACAGCTAGAGACAATCCTTTCGAAGACTAACTCCAAAAGTCCAAACCAATTCATGCCACGTTTGAAGCATTGAACCAGCCATCAGAAACAATCTTTAGACAACCAATTCCTGCTATGTTTTCAGCTATTGAACCAGCCCTCCTTACCTTCGCAAGTTTCTCAAAAAAACTGGTAGACATTAGTCAGGGACTCGGGTGGCATAATTACAATAACTGGAGATTTCCACTTGCTATATTCAACTCTAGTATGCAGTCTAATAAAAACTTTTTTAACCACTTCCCTGCTTCAAGAGAGAATGTTTTCCATATAGAAGAAAGAAAAAGACAAATATTAACCAAAGTTATTAGTTATGTTAGTGATAACAATAACCGTCAATAGCTTATTCTTCGAAGTGAGCTAAAAGTACTCTGAAAACAATGACTTATTATTGTTGAATTCAACAACAGCTAGCTCAAGTTCACAAATTATTAAAATCTTACAAATATAATCGTGAACCATATAAACACCACAAACTTGAAAATTCCATTTTGCAAAAGATTGTCACTAAATTTTCAAACATGAGTAAATATTTTTCTGATTTGTTTTTGACAGGATGACATGTCTTTTTACTGCAATTCGCAATGCACAAATAAATAAGCATAAAATTTTCAAACATGGTGCAAGCAAACAACTTCCTAAGAAATGAAATTTGATGGATTTATGCTCTAGATTAATCCACAATCATACCCTTTACAATCATAATGCACATGCTCATATATTGTTAACTAATGTGTTTTAAGTAAAAGTTCTCAGCAATTATAGAAAATGCATACCCCTTGGATTCTCTTCCCAGTAACGGGACACTTAGGCCCACTTGCCCTCTTCTTAGTGCTCTGATACACCAGCCTTCCACCTAATATTGCAGCACCACACAAAGTCCCATTAATATAATTACAAAATGAATTTGCAAAATACAAAATCTAAATCCATCAAATGCATCAACATCAGAATACCCCAATGCTTGTAGTCTATAAGTAGATATATAAATATGATGACAGCGCAAGGATCAATGGGTGAACTGATAAGCAAGATTGCAGTAACTGTTACCAAAACCTGTATACATTGTTGATATATATGTGTGTGTGTGAGATTGCAGTGACTGTTACACATACCTATACATATTATTGATATGTGTGAGAGAGAAACGGTGCATATATAGAGAGAGAAGATGTACCAGGGGTTTTGACGACCCGATGCTGGTTAGATTTGGTGGCATAGCTATGCCGTTTGCGGTATGTGAGCCGTTGCACCATCTTCGAGTATCTCGTTACTCCCTCTCTCAATTATTTCTTTGTGGGCTGAGGCAGAAAGGAATTCGCCGTAGAGAGAGAAGATGTATATAAAAGGGTTCCCAGCTTAGGTTGCCCTAGATCGTACGTCTGATATGAATTCAACATTGGCGTGTAACGGAGGATGTTTCTCACTATTCAATGGGTCCCACAGCTGTTAGAACCGTTAGATTCTCTTACTGAGACATTTTCGATGGCTAGAGGGGGGCTTGGGCGGGCTACCCGAATCCAACCCGTGCTAGACGAATTTTTTGCAGCTTTGGCGATTGTTTGTATAAAATTAGAGTTCGCTTTAGGTTGAAAAAACCAACCTAAATTTAATTAGTATTGGGCTTGACTTGAACTCCAACACAAATTTTAATATTTTTTATTTTAATTATATTATATGTAATATTCAAATTATAATCACTTCCTTTGAACTTTCTTTATTTTAATCTTAATTTATTGCATATTAACATTTGGAGAACTAATTGCATAAGAATTTGTTTGTAATTTCTTAGAAATTTATATAAAGTTTTAAAACCATTTGTGTTTAGAAGTATTGTAATATGAATCTAACTCAATTTTTTTTTTTGTGTGAAGATTAGTCATATAAATTGATAGGGAAAAATAACCTACCTTGACCAGCTGCCAAACCTCTTCGACATATTTCGTTATCAGAGATAAAGATTTTCCTCGGATAAGAATGATAACATTTCTTATCCAGGATAATGAATGACGACGTGGTTCAACAGGGTGAGGATAACCTTGGCACAATTTGAGAAAGTCAAAGGAGTAAATCTTATCCCCGACAAATCTGGCAACAATCGATCTCCTCTGATCTCGCACAAGCCGATCTCCCGCGGGATCAATTTGATTCCAATCGACAGCCATAATAGGGCACCAAGCCGTTAAAGAAGGTATAAGAAAAAACCCTAGAGAGAATATACATAGTTATTATATGATATGATTACAAGTACTAACTTGATCGTCGGAGGGTCCTCGGCTGGCACTCCACCGGTGCCATTAGAGGTGACGTTCTTTTGTTTTGCAAGTAAACGCCGTCGTTTCGAGTCGTAATCAACAGCTGGCACCGGTTGTGGGAACGATTAGTTCTCTGAAGAAATAACAATCCTAACGCGACTTGGCTCGGACGGTGAGGCAAAAGTTTCTGATCATGGAAACCATCCCAAAGTCATCAGTTGACAACGGATTTCCATGTTCTTATATAAGGACGGGTTTCTACATCATGATTACCAATCCATCATATTGGGGGTAAAACGGTGGGTTGCGTGATGCCACCCAGTGTACGCTGATAATAATCAAAATTTGGCACGTTGGCCCTGGCAGTCCAATTTGGTGTTTTCCATCTAGCGATGCTTAGTCCCCTCACTACTAAGGTTTGGTCATCTAAGACCAAACTCTATCTCATATTTGGCAAGAGCCAACTACCAAGGCCTGATCGTTAAAGACTAAGGCCTGGTCCTTCTGCCTCTACATAAGTGAATTGGTTTCCGCCCATCAAAAAGATCACTGCCAACAAGGCCACCTACCAGACGACAGTCGTCACCTCTCTTCCTTTACAGGAATTGTCTATCGACTTCAGATTATGCAGAATTTTGGATTGATAATCCATGGCAGGTTAATTTTCAGTAATCATTTCTAACACAATCTAATATTTTTAGACAACTGTAAATTATTACAGCACCAGGCACCCCATCCGCTGTATAAACGTCTATAGAATGGGTCATCACCCAAAATCCCACCATCGGGGGTAGAATAGTGGATCACACGATATCAATCGTCGATCTACATATGATGACAAGGTTTAGAAGATCGACGTACCAACCTTGGTACATCGAGCTAGTCGGGTTTCTTGCTTCTCTCCTTCAGTGAACCCTTGGGGAAACTAGTTGTCCAATACCAATGCCCGATCCTCTGAAAAAGTCTCTACACACCAGGAAGGACTCAAAGTCCAGTAAAGTTTCTACAATCAATGAGTCCACCATGTCCAAGGTGGTTCCATAAGGTTTTTAACCATCAAGCACGAATGATGGTTTTTTCAACCTGGAACCAAGCTTAGTCACATGAACTTCAAATTTGACGGGTCACTACCACCATAGTCACAAAGCAAGGCAAGCATAAATGATAAGTCCACGAAAGTGAAAAACTTTGACTCCCTTATTATAGGGCAAGCATATAAAGCTTGGGCAAAATATCCCCTTATTAAAGGGGCAAGCTGGGTAAGGCTCGTAAAAAGTAACCCTTTATTAAAGTTGCAATATTCCCGTATTATAAGGGATGATAATGAGTGTCCTGTATTATAAGGATCCAGGCTGAAAGAATCTTATAATCAATATCCTCGTATTACAAGGGATGATAACAAGTGTCCTGTATTATTATTTCCTTTATCAATATGGCATGCTGAGTGAAACTTGAACATGTTACAAACTCCTTACCAAAGGAGTAACAAAAAAACCTAATTCCCTTACTAAAGGGACGAGCTGAGTGAAGCTCGTAAAACACGATTCTCTTACTAAAGGGACGAGCTGAGTGAAGCTCGTAAAACATGATTCCCTTACTAAAGGGACGGGCTAAGTGAAGCTCGAAAAATTTAATTCCTTTGTTAAAGGAGTGACGAGCTGAGTGAAGCTTGTACAATTTATTCCCTTACCAAGGGAAGATTACCCAGGGGTACTAAGAATAGTACTCAGGGGCAGAGCACCCAAGGGGAAGATATCCCAAGGGTACTAAAAATAATACCCAGGGGCAGAGTACCCAAGGGTACTAAAAATAATACTCAGGGGAAGATTACCCAAGGGTACCAAAAATAGTACCCAGGGGCAGAGTACCCAAGGATACTAAAAATAGTACCTAGGGGCAAAGTACCCAAGGGTACCAAAAATAGTACCCCAAGGGACCATTACTTAATGGAAGAATACCCAGGAGAGAGAAAGAGAAAAATAAATAAATAACTAAAAATTGTTACTATTCATATGAACAGTACCCGCGGGGTACCGTTCCGAGGGCAAGAAAAAAAAAAAAAGTTACTGTTCACTTGAACAGTAACCGCTGGAATAGTACCCGCGGGTACGGTACACCGGGCAAATTAAAATAAAATAAAATTTGACATTCCCAAAGCTAGACGAGTAAGCTTAGGAATGGGGGGCAGCTGATAGGGAAAAACAACCTACCTTGACCAGCCGCCAGACCTCTTCGACATATTTCGTTATCAGAGATAAAGATTTTTCTCAGATAAGAATGATAACATTTCTTATCCAGGATAATGAATGACGACGTGGTTCAACAGGGTGAGGATAACCTTGGCATAATTTGAGGAAGTCAAATGAGTAAATCTTATCCCCGACAAATCTGGCAACAATCGATCTCCTCTGATCTTGCACAAGCCGATCTCCCGCGGGATCAATTTGATTCCAATCGACAGTCATAAATAGGGCACCAAGCCGTTAAAGAAGGTATGAGAAAAAAAACCCTAGAGAGAATATACATAATTATTATGTGATACGATTACAAGTACTAACTTAATCGTCGGAGGGTTCTCGGCCGGCATCCCATCGGTGCCATTCGAGGTTACGTCCCTTTATTTTGCAGCTAAACGCTGTCGTTTCAAGTCGTGAGGATTTCCGTATCAACATAAATAACTAAAATTAATCCGAATTTTTAGTTCAAGTTACAAACCTGAATTTTAAAATTCAAGGATGAGTTGATTAGTTAGGGTTGGAGGTTGGGTTAGGGAATTATACGTAGAGTTGGACCTAAGTTGTATTTTCAACCCACTCAAGTTCCAGCCCTATCTAGAGCTCTAATCCTAAGCTCTATTTGATTTGATGGAAATAGCAAGAAAGAAAATATATATATATAGATATAATTTCTTCACTTTAAAAGTTTGGTTAGCTAAATAAAAATTTTTAAAAAAATTACTTTCCACAACCACCAAAATTTATAATTAAAAATTCCAATGAAGAAATATAGAGAAAATTTGATTTTTTTTTAGAATTTCTTATGAACTAACAATAATGCTATTTTTTTTTTTTTTTTATAGTAAATTTCATACTATTCAAACTATAAAATAATTAACAAGTGTCGTGTTGTCCGAGTGGTTGGGTTGCTATCCGTGTTCAAGCCTTGCACCATCTCCCTCCCCTCTAACCACTAATCCCTAACATTCTTGCCATGTAAATAAATAAATAAACTATAAAATAATTATTTTCATATTTTTTTATTTTAAAAAAAAAAAAAAAAAACCATGTTAATCAAATACATGATTAAAATTTTATTTTATTTTCATTCACTTTCCACTGTTAAAATATCTCAGTGTTGGAGTAGTTAAATATGGATTTCCTTGAAAAAAAAGCTCAACTAGCTATGATACACAAGCTCGGATGCTTTTGGAGTATTTAGTTATCTACCACTAAGTGTCTGTTTGGGATTGCTTTAGTACCATCGCTAATGGGGTATTTAGTTATCTACCACTAAATGTCTGTTTGGAATTGCTTCTATACCGTTAAAAAGGGTGTTGGTTTTAAAAAAATGTGGTATGGTGTGGTTAGTTGTATTTGGTGACTAAAAAAAAGTACGTCTAAGCAATAGAGATTTTCTAAAACAAAATGTGTTTAAGTGAAGGCAGAAATAATAGTTTTTGGAATTACGTTATAGACAAAGGTAGTTAACTATTTTTTTGACAATTTAATCCCTCACTTTTCTTTATAAATACAATTTTATCCCTTACTGTTCTACATCACTGTCACTGTTCTCATTGTCTACAATAAGCCACACAGACACTATAACAACTCTTCATTTCACCTAACTTTTATAAGTTTCAAAACGTGTTTCATAATGAGATAGTAGAAGGTTCTGAAGCTGGTGTTCACGCAAGAGAAACGAAGTGAAGAAGAAGATCGGCCGCCTAAAGCACAAATTTTTTACTTCTGTCATCATCTATCCTTTCTTTTCTTTCTTCCTTTTTTTTTCTTCTCTATCAAAACCTATGAGTCTTAATTTGTACTATTTTTCCCATTTCACAACATATTTTACTCTTGTATTTGTTTTTTTCCCTCTTATTGTTCCTTATGGAGTAAGGAGTAATAACAAAATAATATTTTGTTTGTCATTGTATATTTTATTGGCACATATTATGTAAATATAGACAAAATAATGAAGGTCACATGTTTATTTTGTTTTAATTTCTCTAATTGTTTGTTGATTTGATAGTTTTGGATCGAATATCCGATAAATTAAAATATCGGATATAAATTCTTTAAGTAAAAATTTATCAGATCGGATTGCTTATTATGCTTATCGAATTTAGATCAAATAAGCCATGATCCAGACCCCACATTCGAGCCAACACTTTGGTCGAGGTGTTGGGCCTTGTAAAGCATTTTTCAAGTTCAAATGTATGTGATTGCCCCCTCAAATTTGCATGACCTTTTCAAAACATTTTTGGAGTTTTGCACATTTGTATAGAGATTTGTAAGGTGTGGGAAAAGTTGAAAGATTTGAGAATGTTGGATAGCTCATAGACATATGTGGAGTCTAAATATGTTTAGAAGATTAGGCAGTTTGTAGATTGGTAGAGGGTAAATGTTAATCATCAATCGTAATGCATCATAAGGAGATGATGCCAATAAATAGAAGAGGGAGTCATAGTAGAAATCAAGCTACAATTTCTTCTAAAACTCAGAAAGTGAGTCAAAAGTTAAAGTAGTGAAAGATTTGTGTGATGTTTATCTTTTCGAATTTGAATTCAATGAATAAGACCAAGATAAACACATCTGAAGAGCATTGGAAATTTGTTTGCTTACCTTCACATTGTGGAGTTTCGTGACTCGTTGTTAGAATAGTAATGCTCAATTTATTTTTTCACAAAAGCACTTATTAAAGTGTAATGCAACACATTAGGCACATAAGATATATTAGAATGCAAAGAATCAACCAAAATAGGATCAGACACATTTTGATTAAAAAGGTTTCACAAAAACTGTATTACCCTAATTACTCGATGAGCCCTTAACAAGTCCTAAGCTTGTTTTATCATTAACACTCCTACCAATATTTATCATCTTATTCAATTTGACTTGTTCACGAGCGAAAGCAATCAAATTTTCTTGAGATTTAGCCAATTTAAATTCGAGAGCATCAACCTTAGATTCCAAGTTTTTTTTTCTTTCAAAATTGATATTTACTTACCTCATCTTAAAGAAAACGTATTCCTTTATTGAGATTAGAGATGATTGAATTGCTTTCCACATTCTTCCTTTTCTCTTCATCAATCTGTTTTCTCAACTCATCATTCTCTTCTTTGGCTTGAATAAGTTCATTTGCTAATTTTTTAATTGCCAATTTAACTTCAACAATTTCTGCAAACAACTTATTCAATTTTTCTTCATCCATCTTATCATCTTGAACCTATTCATCATGAACTTCATTGTTTTCATCATCTAAAATGTCAAAATTAGACAAAGTAACAATATGAGGACATTTATCAAGAAGAGCAACAAAAGAAAAATCATTGGAATTATCATGAGAGGATTCATTATCACTAGAAGTAGAATTCTCAAAAACTGAAACTTTCATTGCTTTTCCTTTATTCCTATCATTTTGCTCTTTCTTAGGACTAGGACAAACATTTGAAGTGTGACCTTTGCCACCATAATTCCAGCAAGTAAATTCAGTTTTTTTAGATTCTTCTCCTTTCTTTTCATTAATCTTAAAATTTGGACCCTTATCAAAAATTTTAGGATTGGCCCCATAGCCGTTACTTCTCCTTTGTAAATCTTTGCAAAAACTAATTAAATTGTCTAGATATGAGAGCCACATCTTCATCAGAATATCATCAACTATGCTATCAACCTGAGTTGACTTTAAACCAAGATTGGTTTTTTTTTTTTTTTTTTTTTTTTTAATTAAAATTTTGCATCTCAAAATTTTTCAAAGAACCCACAACCTCATCTACTTTAGCACTAGACAAATCACAATGTTCAGTGATAGTTTCTACCCTTATTTAAAATCCCTTAGGAAAAGATCTCAAGATTTTCTCACAAATTTTCTTATCACTAACTCTTTTACCTAAGTGACGGAGTTCAGAAATAATTTCAAGAAGACTAGAATAAAACTTAGAAAAAGTTTCATCTTCTTTCATCACAATGTTCCCAAACTTATGAGAAAGTATTTGAATTTTGGACAACTTTACTTTCGAAGTCCCTTCATGAGTAACCTGCAAAATATCCCCAGCATCTTTAGCAATTTTACAATCAGAAATTGTAACATATTCAGATGAAACAGCAGAAATAATAATTGCATACAAAGCTTTTCCATTAGCATCATTACGCTCAATTTCAAGTGCAATAAAGGTGAAAATATCTTTTAAAACTTGAACAACCTTACCATCCACAGTCTTTTCTTCAGTACGAGGTGTATAACTTGACTCAACAATAGCCCAGACTATACCTGCTGGATTTTACAAATATGCTCCAATATTTGATTTCCAAAAATTACAATTGTCTCCTTCGAATAAAGGACCACGTTGATCAGATCCATCATCTTTCAAAACATAAGACATGATAAAAGAATTTTTGAAAAATATTCAAAAACTTCCCACTAGGATCAACTCAATATACCAATTGTGAGTTGTGTAGTGGAATAAATTGTGGAAAGTTTAAGTTTTTGTCTAGAGAGGATTTAATCGTGTATCCTTTTATTCAATTAGCTTTACTTAAATTAGCAAGTAATTAAACAATCATATGCAAAATAAAAGCAAGTAAAACAAATAAAGTTTGAGAGATGACACCAGGATTTTTAGTGAGAAAATCCCGATTGGCAGAATAGACCTATCGTTGTGGGAAAAACCTCGTGGACTGTGCAGTCCAGAGCAAAACAATCCACTATATTTGAAACAAAGTACAATGGACTTTGACTCAAGCCCACACCCTATCGTTCTACCAAAAACAAATTGTTGACAATCTTCGGCTTTGTGACGTTCCGTCCAACAGCTCTTGACTCCAGACTTACTCTTGATATCTGTAGAAGGATTGCTGAGAGATCAAACCATAGACTTTGAACAAAATTGAATAGCACCCTAAAATCACTCTTGTGTTTATGTGTGTGTCCAAAAATAAAATCAGAAAAATCAAATTGATTTTCTGAATAAAAATCTCTCAACAAGGCTTTTAAACAAATAAGAAATTTTAATGCAAAAAGCCACACAAACCTAGATGAGAAAATATGTTTATATGGACTTTCAAAAACCTAGATATGCCTTGAAAAGTAGTTAATTTCGTGTATAAGTCTTTTGGAAAGAAATATATGTCAAATAGGAAGTTTAAACAGAACAGAAAATAAAGTTACCTAAATCTGCAGAAGACCTTGAACCGGTTCAAATTGGCCAGTGAATTAATATTTCGCTGCATGGAACCGGTTCAAGTTGGCCAAACTTGAACAAAAGGATTAAACACTTAGAAATTTTTTGAAAAACATACCAGGTATGTAAGTGTCCTAACCTTCTAATACAGTTGTTCATACTTTTTCGTAGACCTCAAGCTACTTCAATTCCATAACCCATATTGATATTGAATTTTAAACTTGAAAATACAATTCGATTGAACTTGTTTTAACACCAAAATTAGTCAATTACAAAATATATATCTCACATAGTATGCGTAGAAGGTTTTTTTTTTTTTTTTCGACTCTTGCCTCCTCCTAAATCCCTCTCTGAGGATATGTTTCAAAGTCCACAAGTACATAATATTCATACATTCTCTACAAGAACCATAGAAACATTTAATGTCTAACTCTGTGTGTGTGTGTGTGTGAGAGAGAGAGAGAGAGAGAGAGAGAGAGGGGCAGAAAGGCATTTAAGAGTTCTTGGCAATGAGAGACAATTTTAATATATACATATCCGCAAAACAGCAGTAACAAGCTAGTCCGTTTGGTGACAATTCTAATATTCTAACCTTCTTTTCTATGGGAAGGGATATACAGGAAACACAGTGGTATAGTGGCAACATTCAAAATGGAAAAAGCAAAAAAGAGGATTCTACATGAATCTTTCTGTTTACAAAGTTAATTCTGTTTAATTTCCTTTGACACCATACTAATTGATCTGTCGTTAATCTTGACATATTCAGAACTCTTGCCACCAATCTCAATTCTACCTGAGCAAAGAACTGAGCACCAATTAATTTATCTTTTTGTTGTTTTTGGAACTTCTTTACTATGCAATTTCCACTTCTCACTATCTCTTTAAACCTCCTTTCCTTCTGCATGACATGATAATCAAAAAATGAATATCAGAATATGTTACACACACACACACACAATAACACAGAGAAGTTTTGAAAAAACAAACCTTCTGAAGACTTGCTTTAACATCCACTAGAAGCTCCAAATCTGAAGGGTTTTGCAGTTCAACATGAGTTTTCTGAGTACCCGTTAACATCACATTAGCCTGATCTTTATCAGTACGAAGAAATTCCCAGAAAATGCGCATTGATTCCTCAACGATATCTTCCAGCATTGCAATTAAAATCGCATATTTTTCCTCTGCTCTACTTTCCTTCCTATCTTTCAAACTATCATCTGCAATACAATTGAGCTTAATTCAATACTCTGCAGTGTGCCTAATTTTGTTACATCATTACCTGTTATTTAACCTAAACCAATTTACTTACCTTTGACGGCAGGAACTTGGAGAAGGGTACGAAGCATGCATCGGTTTTTGACATAGTTTTCAACCCTGGGCCCTTGAAATTTCTCATCCTCTATAAATCTTTGCACATGAACTTGGAACTGTTGAAATTCATCGGCCACTTGATTATACGGCCGATACCCTTCAGAATCATGTTCTACCAACTTGTTTGCTTTTCCATATTGCCAATGGAGGATTTCCCAAGAAAGGCAAACTTGTCCAACATACACCAATTCCAAGTTTCTATGCATTTCATTAATGGACTTAAGTGTTGGATCAGCATAGATTCTTCGCAATTTGCCAGGCCAAATGTTTGGAAAAAGAAGGGATTTGATTGTTGAAGCTGAAGATTTTTGGCTGAATGTTAGTTGGCTTGAGTCCTTTAGCTGGAGAAAACCTACAGATGATCACAGAACACATGAAAATAGTTCTTCCAAAAATAGAAAAAATATTAATAAATGATAGTATTTATATATATTTATTACAATTTGATAGATATTGATTCAGCAATCCACCATAAGAGAGGTATAATTAAATGAGTAAAGCAATTCCTGAATATAGTAATGATTTAATTTATTGAAGGAACTAAGTGGAGAGAAGAAAAGGTGACATTAATGAGTATTAATATAGACTTTAAACTAATTCTCAGCTTAATAACATATTTCAGGAGCAGACAAATCAACTTTATATGAAGAATTGAAGATTGATAGTGGGACACTGGTGGTTTAAAGATGATGGAGACCCACCAAACAATATGATTCTCCTCAATGATCTCTTTGATTAAAAAATCTTCAACATGACCTTATGGGCCAAACATTCCCTATTCATAATAAAAATTTTCAACAACTTAAAAATTTTCAACAACTTAAATCCCGGGAAATTATTACATGATTCCCGCCAATCATATAATAAAGCTAACACAGGTGTGTCAAGTCGTGATTCGCCAAAGAACAATTTAATAATTTCTCATCCCCTCCGAAACCAGTATCATGCATAAAAATTCTAACAGTAGCACATATGGAATTATGTAATCTCTATAACTAGTATGTTTTATTATGTACACAAATTGAACAATTCTAAGTGTGTTTTTCAATCATGTATAGAAATAACTGCATTCAAAAATTAAAAATATATTAAAAAAATGTTATATATACTAATGTTTTGTCAAGAAATTTGAGAATCATGAGAGAAAAAGGTGGTTTGGTAACTTACTGATTGCATGAATGGTTTGGTAATTCAAGATGTCTAATTTTCGCATTCTTTCTGCATAGCTCTTGTAGACCTTCTGAATCTCTTCCATATAGTCTTTGTGCTCCAACTTTTCATCAATTTTTAGTGGCTTCAAATCATCCATCATCTTTGGAGTCTCTGATTCTTCTAAGATTGTAAAAAGCCCTCTACTACTTCTTGCATGCTTCATTTCCATTTTCATCTGCTCTATCAAATCCTTGTGCTCCCACAATATCTCCTGTCCATCTTCCTCTTCATCAGAATCCGAGTCCCACCCTTTCCTCCCCGAGCTGGGGTGTCCGGGTTTTTCTTCACTTTCCATTGATTTCAACCCTATACAACATGTATTTTCCACTTCATTTTTATCCTCAACCATGTCTAAGTCTTTACCTTTAATAAAGTCAATAGAATTGTGCAAATTGGGTTCCAATTCTATGTACTCATCATCACTATCCTCTGCTTTCTCTCTGATAACAACTGCTTCATCATCTGAAATGCCGCTATCACTTACCACATCAATATTTTCCAAACCCTGAAAATTTTCAATAAATTCTGATTTCTCCTCATCGGTGGGCATAGGAGTGTCCGGTTCGGATCCTTCATTCCTATCCTTCAAAAATTCATCACCAATTGAATCAGTTTTGGTGTTGCTAATTGAGGATTCATCGCTTGAACTATTTAAATCAGGATTTTCATCGAATAGCAAGATGTGATTACCGGAAAGCAATTCAACTTCATTAGAGAAATCATGCTTTCCCAAAGAATAATTTTCCAAGTCATCCAGGTCTTTATTCTCATAAAGATCATCTTCAGTGGAATTTACTTTTTCTTGCTTTTCTAAAACCTCTTTTCTACACAGGGTTTGAACAGAGTCCCCTGCTTTTCCCTCATCAACCTCCTCTGCCCCCAAATCAAATCCCTGAAAACCCTTTACCTCCGAGAATCCAATACTCATAATTTGGGTATTTCCAATGGAATCTCCACTTGATCCCACTATCAATTCTTCGAATTTTCCTTCGAAATCAGATTCTCGAAAACCCTTTTTCGCAGGAACTGCAGTGTCATGATTTTGATTCTTGACAGTAGAAGAAGCATCATTTGAACCCACAAACAGCTCTTGAATTGTAAAGCTCATAGTTTCTGGCTCCTCCACGAATCCACTGAAATTTTTATTGGAAATACACTGATATTTGCTTGTGCTCGGAATATATGCATTTTCCATGAAAGCAGAGCTCTCTGTTTCATCACTAATTTTCCCGGAATCTTCGCTATTTGAAGACGGAAACACAAAAGAGAACTCACCATTTTCTTTGCCCCCAAACAATTCAGACTCCGATTCCGTAGAAATATTGGAATCAATCTGCTGATCATCATCATTCTTCTGAGAACTATGATCGGCCTGAAATCTGCAAAATGAAAACTACCCATTTAGCTCTAAACAACTAAAAACTACTTTCAGAGGCAAAAAAATCAAACACAACACAAACATACCTGATAATGAATTTGACTACGAATCCAAAGAGATTGAACAAGAAGTTGCAGAAAAAAACCCAGAAAGAATTAGCAAAACTAAACATTGTTGTGAACACAGACTCCCTCAAAAACCCTTTATCTACTAGAATTGGCTTTTGGGTACCCATCAAAACAATCAACCTTTATGGGTTTTTTCTAATTTCTAAGCAAAGATGAAAAGAAGAGTGAGTTTTAGGCACATCACTTAGGTTTGTGGGTATGTATTAGATTTCAATGGAGAAAGTGGACCCTCCACTTGTAGACAGCGAAGTCTGTGGAGAAAAATTTAGCCATGTATGAAGATTGAAGGAGAGTTTGGTCTGTCGTCCGACCGTAATGGCGAAGATTAAGGGAGGGACGCTTTCACAGAGATTATGAGAGTTAGAGAGAGAAAGTGAGAGAGAGAAAGTGAGTGAGAGAGAGGGGAACGTTCTTGGAATGAAATGGGTAAATGGGTGCGTGTAAAATACTATATAGGAGTCTCTTTAGATTACTTTGGGCTGTCGGTCGGATTGTGATTTGTGGGTCATTTTTCGTCCGAATTCTCTCACACACCGTTTAACACGTTTGAAAGTGACGCTACAGTGGAAGTTAAGTTAGGTAACTTAGCTAAAAAAAAATTAAAATTAATCACATTTAGAAAATTTAGATAACCAAAAAAATGTTCCAATCTCCCAATACTTTCAAACTTTCTTCATGTAACACAGTATAACCCGGGTAATTTGTTCTCTATCGGATCCGGATAAAAAAATATTTAGGTATAAATAGGTGGATATATAGCACTATTTAACAGTTTGAATTCTTGAGTAAATGGGAAGCTTGAATTTTTGGGTAAATGGGTAATTCCCAACCCGTTACCATTAGTATGAGAACCAAACTAAATCTTTGATCTGGTGCCACACCAAGCGTCCGGGTGAGCCACTCAGGGCTGGCAAAATGACCCGACCTCAACGAGAGCATTGTGAGTTTGAGTGAGGAAGAATGTAACAAGGGTCATTTGTCCCCTATCGAATCCGAATGAGAAAGTGATTGGATATAAATAAGTGGATATGCAGCACTACCCAACAGTTTCAATTTTTGATAACTTAAGTTTTTTAGTAAATGGACAGACACTTACGTTAAGAGATAAGTTATAATTATAAAAAAAAAAAATTGTGACTCTTCATCACAATTTATTTAGATTTATCTTTTCCTCACATAAAAAAAACCTAGTTACTCCTTCAACTTTTAAAAATAACAAAAAAAAAAAAAAAAATCAAATCAAATGTTTATTTTAATCACTAATTCTCACGCTAAGTTATGTAGCCAATAAAATAGAGTCAATAATTATATTAATTTTTTTATTAGTTGTTTATAATTTTGAAAGACATGCTTACTTGTCAAATGTTAAATATCTCAAACAATCACGGCACAACATTTCATATTATCAAAGTAAAGGGCAGGTTTTAATTGAATAACTCTACTCTGAATAGTTTATATTTTTTCCTTCTAGCAGCTTATTTAGATTTTATAAAGAGAGTCGATATAGAAGCGACTAAATAAGTTGATTATTAAAAAAAATTTGGTTACTTTCTTATGATATATTCATTTGAGATTTACATAATAATGATTGATTATATTGTTTCCTTTATTTTTCTTATCCTATTCAATTGTTACATAATTGAAATAAAATAAAATATATTTTTTCCTTTTATAAAAAAGTTGAGATTGAAGTGAATTAAATAGTATTGTCTAATCCAGGTCAATTCTAATTGTATAAAAATGTTTTGGATTTATTTACTTTTACTAGTTAATTAACTTACCTAAAGAGTAAAAACATAGTATATATGTTACTAGTTAATTTACTTACCTAAATATAATAATTATGTTTTTGCTAAAATCAAATTTTATCCACGCAATTAAAAAAAATCGATTTAGGACGATATGAATCAATTTGGTTTTACCTAAAATTTAAGTAAGATAATTCAAATTATCTTATTTAGCTCAAAGTTTGTTCAACATCCTAATGTAGGACTAACAAATCTCCAATTTTCACATATAACACTCAAAAATAATTTTCCTTCTCTTTTTCAGACACAATACTGTCCGCTTTTAGCTCACCTGGATCAGAAACTCCATAAGGGTCACCAATCCTTATACTAACTCCTGTATTGTCCGTTTTTGGCTCACTCGGATCATAAACTTCCAATTCCGAAGTTTTGGTAGGTTCATGGCCATCACAGCTTTAAAACACGTTATATCATAAGAGAGTGTTGAATTTACATATAACACATGTTCCATCCACACTTAGGCGATGTGGCATTGTGCACCTGTATCTCTCGTTCAGTATGATAGCTTATTGGTACCACTTGCATATCTCACACGCACCGGCCCAAGAGATCACCACAATTTCATTCAAATCTAAATCAACACATGCACAAAAATCATTCCTTGAAATTATAATTTTAGGTTTTTTTTGTACAAGTTTAACTAAATGTAATAAACCAATTAAATAAAAAATTATTGTAAATATACATACATCGAACCATTGTTAGAATTGGTTTGATGTTTCAACGTCCACCTAGAACTTTTCTAAACTACCTTTTGAAATTGAAAAAAAAAAAAAAAGTCCACCTAAAACTTGTTTGACATTAAAAAAAGAATAAAATAAATGTTCACCTAAAACTTGTTTAACATTAAAAAAATAAAATGTCCACCTAAAACATGTACCCATTTTGATATTTTCACTCTTTTCAAAACCACAAGTAAATAGTTGACGCTCTAGAACTTAAATAAATTGCAAGTTCAATTTGATTTGGTTTTAAATCAAAGTTTAGTTGGGATTACTGTGCACCCTTGCTGCAAAGTCCCTCAGTGCTTGCTATATTGAAAAATTATTACATGGTTTTGTCAATCACAATGCCAATAATTAGACTAAAATATTTATGTACATGTCAAATTATTATCGGTCAAAATCACATAAATATGTGTAGGTTTAGCAATTCATTGCAACTATTCGATGCAAGAATCATTTTTCATTGTCAAAAAGCAATACAAAATTTCCTTTTTCGTTTTTCTTGTTTATGTCATTATCACTCCTTCCGTCCTAGAAATGTAAGTCACAATTTTTAAAGGCGATACTTAATTTGAGATAGAATGAGCATTATTTTAGGACTCTGAATGAATAATTTGACTTCACTAGTTAAGAATTCGACTAGTTGACTAATCGAGTTTAGTTTGAACTCATTTTTTATGCTGCTAATCACTCATTAACTCCATTGTTAGAGTTAATGATTTAATTAGGTGTTGTGACAAAAGTACATCCTCAAAAAGATACCACAAACCCCACTAGTATGTCCTCTGAACACTCAGGTCTTGCCAGATTAGTGAGAGAAGGGACTTTGTGATTGACCCCTCTCAACTGGATCAATACAGACCACAATTATGATACTGCTTTTGCAGTCACTGCCAATGCAGGAGTCAAATTTGTACCCAATGAATTAAATTCTACCATCTAAACCTCACACATGCTTCAAGTTTCATTCAAATGCATGCATGATGAGTTGAGCTGGTAGCCCCGTCGATAGAGAGACTTTCCTGAGTCGCATAGGTGTTCAGCTGTACAGACTCGGCTCAGTCCATCCTCCTCCCCTCGTCGGATTAAAAAAAAAAAAAAAAAAAAAAATTTGAAGCATTATCCATTGAAATTGATCAATCTAGCTATGGAATTGGGATAATTTGTAAAATTCTTAGATAAGCAATCGTTTAGAGACTACGTGCATTATTTAAATTCACGTGTTACTTTTTGCAAGTAATCACGTGCATTATGTAAACTCATACTCCTTTTAACATATCCGTTAATCATTTTGAATACTCCAATTATTAGTGAACTCCAGTTGCAAGTTATTTTGAATACTTGGATAATTGGCGACCTGGAAATGCAAGCAATGATCTGCGAATCAGTGCATCATTTAAACTATGTCTCGTCTCTCAATGAAAAAAATTCAAACTAGATAGGCCTAGTTAAAAAAGACTTGAGTTCTAGTACCTCATAAAGTATCAGATCTTAAAATCAATTCTTGTTAGATTTTACGTATCGAACGATGCGGCAAGCCACGAATAAAGCATAACATTTATGAAATGTTAATATAAATTAGTCGATACGAATCTCATATCGAGCGATATATCGCGTATCGAACGATGCGACGAACCATGACTAAAACATAACATTCATGAAATCTTCATCACCATTGTTCAACCATGAAGATTTCATGAATGCTGTTTTAGTCATGAATCACCGCATCGTTCAACCATGAAGATTTCATGAATGTTATGTTTTAGTTATGGCTCACCGTATCGTTCGATACGTAATATAACGCTCGACAAGCGATTTGTATAGACCAATTTATATTAATTTTGTCAGAATACATTATATCTTGATCAATACCATTTGCTTAAAATTTCATTTATACAATTTGCTTTAAATTTCAAAAAAAAATCTTGATCAATATCACAATCGCGACCGAGCCAATCATTATACCAAAAAAGATTTCATGAATCTATTTGGAAGGGTCCATCAATGGGACCATTTGTCTGTTTAATTTGGGTAGTTGACAAGAGTCACTGTAATGGCAGTAATAAGAGAAATGACATAGCAGTATATGGCACTTAAAAAAGGAAGGAAGCTAATGAATGAAAGGTTTGAAATTTTGTTCAGTGGTGTTAGGAAACCATATATGTACCCCATGGCCTGTAGTGTAAAAGACTAAAAGTACTGCAAACAATTATTATATCTACCCGCCAAATATGTGCCATTTTCTACAAAAATACAAATTGAAAAAGACTTATCAGTAGTACTAGCTCTAAATATGTTTTTCATGTCTCTTTAAACATTAAGTTGCAAATTGATTGTGTTGTTGATTTGGATTTGGATTGGTTTTGTTCACATGGATTGTCTTTGCAAATCCACGAGACTGCATTCATGGACGACATTTGACCTCGAATGGTTGTATTGTGCGTGTATACCAAACAACTCCAATGTAGAATTGGCCCTAACTAAAACAAAAGGTAAATTAAAATAAAATAAGTAAATAACCCTTAAAAAGTTTAATTATTTATTTATTAATTTTTTTTTCGAAGCATTTTAACAGGCTACATTCATCTTCAGCCTTCAGTCATTGCCAAATTATGAACAGTAGTGTTAGCATCTCCGGAAATGAAATTAACGAGAACCCTTCTGAAAGCTTCAACCACAGCTTTCAACCAACATTGAACATGATTGAAAATTGGACAAATTACACTTGCCCATGGTTCATAGTTACGGTACCTATTAGGATTGCGGTGTAACTGATTCGGACGAATATTGATATAAATCAATCAAAAAATAATTACAAATCAACTAATATGTCGCGTATCAACCGATACAACGAACTATACACTGACTTCCTTT